GGACTTGGGGAATTGAGTGGAGGCTAAAGTTTTCATTCCATTAAATCAATCCTGACTTGAACCACTTCTGGAGAAACTTGATGTATTTAGGGCTGCGTTACCCGTGCTTCAGTTCACAAACAAATGGTCTCTTCGCTCAGGAGCATTAATTTGGGGGCAAGAATCTGTGCTTGAGACTTCCTTTGAAAGTCATCCTCCTATCAATTCGAACAAGGCTACATTTTGGCTCATTGTCTCCCCACCGAGAGCAACTTACAGGATTAAAAAAGTATTGCCCTGTCCCCTAAGCAGAACCTAAGCAATAGAGTCAGTTGCTCCGTATTCTGTTTTAGCAAGGCAAGATATCCATGAACAAATGTAACAATGATTAAAGGTGGCAAAAATGTATTAAAAAGTATATTTTCTTTAGATTTAAGGGAAAAGATCTAATTAATGATATTAAGCACTTTTTAAAGGGTGAAGTCTGTTTCTGTATGTAATGTAGCATGAGCAAAGGCAGGCAGGCAACCGACATTTACTATGTAAATTATCTCCACGCAGTGCTAAATCAATGAGGTTTTCTCCATAGATGCTCATTCCAGGTTGCTCCCTATAATGACCTCAATTATACATGTCTTCATTGTGAAATTATGATTGCATTTGGCGGGCTGCAAATGACAGCAGAGAAAAAGATTTCCATGATAAAACAGCACAACAAGTAATACCTGCTCGCATTAGTATGCACAGCTTGCAAAGGTGCAGTGCAACTCCAGCTTAGCACCTTAAGAAATAAAATGGGAGCCGAGGAGGGGCCGAGGAAAATGTTCAACAATATCTTGACATTTTTAACATGAAAAGGAATGAGTTATACTTCACGTTCTCAAATGTGTTGCCATGGGATCTGGTATTGCAAGAAATTTAACGTAAGAACATCAGAATGGCTACACCTGGGTCACCAAAGGTCCACAGTGCTTCGCAGCTTCTCTCAGGCTGAATAAAATAGCAGAGAAAAGGGGACAGAGCGATCCTTTCCCTCAGTAGTCTCTCGGTGCCGACCGCTGGCATGCAGGGAGTGACCCCTCAGCCTCCTGAACGGGCGATAAAGGTTTGAAGATGGCACTGCCCTAGTTCCTGGAGCTGCACAGTTTTCAGGAGCTGAGCTGCTGCCATCACCAGAGGGTTTGCAGTGTCCCGGCTGCCTTTTACTGACCTTGATTTTGTTCTACATTTGGTGCAGCACCTGATGGAAGATTACTCCCGGGCCTCTGATAAACAGAGACACGGTTACACCCATTCCTTCTCAAAGGTGGTTATTACAAAGGCTTTACCCCTGTCTTGAACTATTAAAAGTTGAGCCAAAAATGATAGCATCCCATTCTCTGATGATAGCACCTCTCTGATGGCAGAGTAGTTGGCAGGAACCTTTTTTTATTTCCAGCTGGAATAGACTGAAGAGTTGCTTCAACTGAAATCCCAGAGAAGGGTACCAGGTTTGACATGACTTGATAAGTATCATCAGCTAGGACTGATACTGGTAGAGTCTATCAAATATAGAAAGCTCTTTTGCATGCATCATTCTGCAGAATTTCCAAACAAACATAAAATGGTTTGATTTTAGGACCAAATTCCATTCCAGCCTGTGTTCTGCAAGTGAGCGCACTTTGAATATTACCCATTTGTTCTGTTCAGTTTTATATGCATGGTAAAAATCCTTTTATCTCCTAAGGGTTTTTAAAAATAAAATGAACAGTGTTCAATACTTAATCTAGAGGTTCTACACAAAATCGTTATGGTGACTTGAATAATTTGTACACATAATCCAACTAGCATCAAGTGTGTCTAAGCTCTGTAACCTAAGTATAAGATTCTGAGTTTTTAAAAAGATTTTGAAAAAGCCCAGCCCTCGCATCCTCCTAGGGAATCTCTGTTTCCTCCCCAATACACCTGATTATGTAAATAAATCTTTTCTATTGATAACAATAAAGCAATGACTAAAGCCACGCAAAATAATCCTGTATTAGTAGAAAGACTTTTAAATGTTATTAAAATGCCCTCAAACGTACTGGTAGTAATATGCCCTCAAAGATACTCCATAGAAATACTCAGAGAAGGAGTGTGTGTACATTGCTAAAGTGGTCTGTACTAATTACATGCTTTAACATAAAAAGTCATCTCTTGGCCTGGTATGGTTCATCCAAGAATGGCGGCTATGCAAGGTGTCTTCTTAATTAAAAGTTAATGTCTTTTTCATTAGTGTGCTTCTAAAATGTAAAACCAAAGCCTCTTCAGCTGTCATTTGGAAGATGGGCAGAGCCTTAAATTCTACTGCAACAGAACACTCAAAAAATGTTGCTGAAGAGGGGTCAGCCAGGGAATTCAAGGCAGCGTGAGAAACAGCAGAGGGAATTGAGGAAAACAGCAGTAAGATGAAAAAACAATTCTCTCATAAATGAATGACCCTCTATTTCATTCCTCCTCAAGAAAAGATGTCCTCATTAGCCCTACTCCATGCTACAAATTATTGTAATTATCAGTTCTTTATCCTGTCAAGTGCACTCCAAATATTTTATTCATAAAAAGGAGCTCTCTTTTATGCAGGAAGCAACTACATTACTAGCCCCTATGTGCTGTTTACATGCTTCAGGCAGCTGGATGAGGGTGGTGAGATGGGACATCACCACTCCTATGGGCCACCGTCCGTGCTCCTGCACGGCCGCGTCTCTGATCTCCTCCAGCAGGTACCGAGGACGATGTGGTTTAATGATGTATTATCTATTCCTGGCTCTGCCACTAACCTGCTCAGTGACCTTGGGTGGATAACGTTCTCCTTCCCTTCCCAATCCTCCTCCGTCTCCCCATTTGGATTTTAAGGTTTCAGGTGTAGAAACTGCTTGATGGTCAGACTGTGTCAGGCCCTCTTCTCATTTAATGCCTACGGGAGCCACCGCAACCCAAGTAATAGCAGTAAGTTGGTCAAACATTCCTATTTTTGATCAACCATATATCAAAAATATAGCTACCGTTTCTTTTCAACAGCTTGTGCTCTTTCTAAAATAGCACTAGGAATATTAAGTGGGAGAACAGCTAACCGCTGGCAGACACGACATGCAATGCTGTATTGATCTCTGCAGCCCTAAGTCACCCTCAGATTTACAGTGGTGAATACAATTTGTGGCACATTCAATTAACTTCTTGCTTGGGTGGAAGAAGCAGGAAGAGAAAGGATGCAGAGCTGTTTGGGCACTGCTGCACAGGCAGGTTTTGCACTAAGTGTTCACAAACAGTTGCTAGACCAGCGCACTGGAGTGAGTCCTTCCAGGCTTCCCAAGGCTACTGAAATGGACCGAATTCTTTTGTGAACAGATTTAACAGATTACTACTCAAGAGATGTTAAAGCAATTTTTCCATTAACGGGTATGAAGAAATGGAAAACGATGCTTGCAAAAGTAGATGCTGGGTTTTTTTATTTTTATTCCATGCAATTCCATAGTGTAAGCCCCATAAAAGAGTGCAAGATTTTCCCGCCAAAGCTGTTAACTTTTAAGGCAAAATCACATCTTAAGCTGTGAACTGACATGATAAAAATGAGCATTTGGATTCACTGAAAGTCGGCCCTTCTTCAGAGGGCGGGAAGAAAGTGCACAAAGCATTTAGATCTTACCAACGCAGACAGACTGTAAGTGATGCGCAAATCTTGTGCGGGTCCTAACGACAGAGATGAGAAGGAAGCAAGCAGGATGAAGAGTAATTTTGCCAGCTGATGGGAGGGAGTAACCTGACCCCGCATGTCATTTTATAGTGTCAGCACTGCTTGAAGTGGTTTTTCCCAAAGCACTTGTGTGAGGCAGCATCGGTCTCTTTGATCCCTGTTTTACCGCAGTTAATCCCAGTGGACATGAGGAATGAGGGGCCTTGGGGCCAGGAGAGGGTGTTTCATTCCCCAGTCCAAGTTTCTGAGTTGGCTGAAGCAACATAACACCGAAGTGCTGTGAACATCTCAATGGGCCATTACCTTGAAAGACTGGTTTTCAGCATTTACGTGCAATATAGTTTCAAGGCTTTCTTATTGCAGAGCCTGTGAATGAGAGCAAGCAAAAAATATCATGTGTGATAAAACTGTGAATGCAGCGGCTTTGACAGTGTGGCCTGATTGCCCTGTTGCTGGCTCACTGCTGCTGAAATGCTTAATAATGGCAATCTGCACCCAGGGTAATTCTGGTATCAAACGTCTTGCCTATCTGTGTGGCCACACATGGCAAAATACGCAGACACATCTTGCGAGCATTGGCCAGAAGGAAATGATGTGACGTTGCTGTGGTTTCAGAGAGATGTTGGTGTGGCTTTCAGTAAGGCCTGCTGCCTCAGGTGTTTCTTTTGTGTGGTACTTATAAGTCAATATAACTGAATTTTTAAATTTAAATAAAATATGAGAAAGCTTCTCACTCCTTGATTAGAACATCTGTATCTCAGATGCCATAGGTGGCTGCATTTGGTAAAGGAGTTTTCATGCTTGGTGACTTCCCAATATTTGGGCAAATTAAAAATGGGTTTATTTATATTTCAGTGACAACAGTCTTACTTTAATTCTGCTTCTTCAAGGAAAGAACATGACTCATTCTTGTGCCTTTTCAAAGGACCTTGGCAGGAGTCCTCTAGAGAAACAAACCCAGACGGTCTCAAACAGGAGAGCCTTTGCTTGTCCTCCTGTTGCTGACTGCTTTGTAGATTAAATATTGCAGCCAGGTTTGCCAGAGGACCCATCTTAGTGCCCTAACGCCACGACTAACACTAGACATCTCAGGAAAATGATGTAGGGAGTTTGATTGTTGCAGATTCAATTTCTATATGTCTTACTTGGCTTTACTGTTTAGGGTTTTTTTTACAACATAGATACCCATCTCCTTGCCAGAGTCTTTCAAAGTTATTCCTGGAATGAAGAAGAAGGAAGGCAGGGCGGGGAGAAGGGGAACAGCTTCCCTTTGTAGTATTTGGTATTATTCCTGTTTTGTTGCCTTTTGCAGAGGTGGTTCGGCTGAGCCTGCCGGAGGACCAGAAGATCAGCGTCACCACCATCACCGTTGGCCTGAGCACTGTTCTGACGTGCAGCATCCACGGGGCGCTGCGGCCTCCCATCATCTGGAAGCGCAATGGCATCATCCTCAACTTCCTCGACTTGGAGGACATCAACGTAAGTCCTGAATTACTCTTGTCATTTTCTTTTTAGGGCATTGAATATGACTTCATTTAACAGATGATAGTTTTAAGGGAACAAGTTTTATCTTGTTATTATTATGGAAAACTGGAAGCTGACATGATATTTTGGTTTTGTGTGAATATGTCTCAGGAATAAAAGCGAAACAACATATATGCAGCTGAGAGCAGGCGTACTTGGAATATGTTGTTATGAAATTAAAACTCAGTGCTGTAATAACCCGGCACTTAAATAGCACTGGTACTTCATCCCTTGTTGCTCATTCAGTTTGGTGTTACCTGTGGTCCACGGACAGCAGCCCTGGCAAGCCAGGGGAAAGCAGGTCTACAGACCATTAACTCCTCAGGGATCTCTTTCCTAGTACAAAGAAACAGGTTCATCAAGAGCATGAAACAATACATTTATGGTTGACAATGAAATCTCTCCTCTATCTAAATCAAATAATACGTTTTTATCTCTGTTCCTCCTGTTTCACTTGCCTTTCAGCCAATTCTCGTCTCTCATTCCTTGGCTACTATTTCTGATGAGCAGTTTAAAATATGGGATTATTCAGCAGGGTGTGGCAATACCCTCGCAGGAAGGAAGCTGAATCTCTTTTAATTTGCAGTGCTGGTCTGATGTGTGAGTCATAGTTTGTAGTAAAGACAATACCTGAATAATAGTATAAACTTACTCATTTATTTAATAACATTTAATTACGGAGAGAGTGGAAAGTAGTGTACAAAAAATACGGTCTGTATTTCATTTCTCTTTGCATTAAAGTACACAGTAAATCAGGTTTTATTTTAATTACACTACAGCAAGAGTTGATTTATATTTTTGTTCAGCTCTTGTTAATTTGATAACCACTCAGTTCAGAGTTGTTACAGTCAATACTGTAGCTCCCTAAATTGTTGTGTATCCAGGATTGCTGAAATGTGAAAAATCTTTTTTTTACTCTTCTGCATTAATACATGAAAATTACAGCACATGGGACAGAAATAAACACTGCAACTCGGTACATTATTTGTTGACTCTACCTTAGCAGGAAAATCAGGTACACTATGTATAGGTGATTACTGTGTGGACAAACTCAGTAATTATAACCACCTAAACATTCTTTTCTTTTCATCAAAGCAAGTATTACCCTTTTAAAACGCATTTCTTGTCACCATTTGGAGCATGACATTGAAATGCAACATGAAACCAGCAAACATCCCGCTGCAGGACTGGCACAGGACTGTACAGGAACGGTGACGAGGACGCACAGGATTGCACAGCCAGCCCGAAGCCGGTGTACCTGACCAGATTTCTTACAGACATCCGTCAGCGCCAGGGTTAGAATAATGACCTTCGGGTCACTGGCACTAAAAATACATGGAAACCTGCCAAGCTGCGATGCGCAAAGTCAGGCGTTCCCTGCTGTAGTCGGAGTGTGGCACGGTGAGCATTGCCTGTACCGCCTTGTGCAAATATTCTTCAAACCAGACCTATTCCTTGACACAGATTAAGCTTCATAAAGATTACACACACTGCCAACGTGCTTAGTTTAATCTGTAGTGAGCAAATTCAACAGCTTTGTGTAATCAGAGTCTAGAAAGAGCCTTTTCTTTGGCAGTTATATTCACTAGACAGATCTGAGACGTGTTTTTAGGCTCGGTTTTGTTGCTCGGTTCAAGGCTGAGCTGGGGTTAGAAGCGAGGTTCAGCTGTTCTGAAAACTTATTTCCACACGCTCTGGAGGCTCAAGAGTGGTCTTAGAATTTTTTGGCCAAAAATAATGAAAATTCCAGTTATTTATCTTACCTTTATGAAATTTTGGTTATGATCATGTTAATATGAAAAGATTAGAAGTTTATGTGTAAAGTGGACACAAAATGACAGTTCAGGAATTGGAGTACAAACGCATCCTTGAAGGACAGATAGCACATGGCTCTGAGGCTTCATTTACAGCTCCTACTATTTTAAATACCATTTTGAAGAGTAAATTTTCAGGCTGAAATGCCAGTTCCTCCCTAAATTAGCACTGGCCCAAGTGGATTTCTGGTTTACTTATAAGTAGTTCTCTTTGTCATTGGTTATTAAATGTTAGGAGGAAGACTTGTGTCATTGCACATAAACTGGTTCCTGAATGATTCAATACCCTCTAGGAAAGTACCATGCAATACAGCAGAAAAAAAATAATCACTTTTTGATCTGTTTGAACTAGTATATCACTGAGAAACTGTATCAGAGGAGCGCTCTGAGATTCTTACAAGGAGGAAAAACAGGGTTTATGCCTCAATTTTCATGTTTCACATGTCAGTTTATGACCTCTATCACTTTGTCGTATAACACCCGCTACTAGTGCGCGTCAACTTTTTTTTTGTCTAATAAACACCTCCACACCTTTTTCATCTTTAATTAAACTGTAAAGTTTTTGATGTTCTGTATATATCACTGCCATCTGTATTCTGCTCTGGTTACTTGAGGTGACACAATTTGGGGATTACCATCTTTCAGTTTCCCTCTTCCACTGTGGGCAGTCTGTAGGACTCTTGAGCTCAGGTGTGTCCCCTCTCTGGCTACCAAGGACGGGCACCTGCATGTCTGAAGCACTTGTTCATAGCAGGGATGAAGAGATGGTCCTTCAGCTGGTAAATCTAGTCTTTTTATTTAGAGTAATCACAAGTTTAAAAAGCCCTGTACTCGTGGGGCACGAGCCACGTTCATCTGCAGCGTGAACACGCTTGTGTTTGGGGTTGATACTTGCGTGTAGCATGGAAGTAGCATCGACATTCGCTTTGAGGTTTGCAATGTGCAAACACGTGCAGCCATGCATGCTCAATAGTATGGGTCGGGGTGGGGAGCAGCAGACGGTTCAAAGCTTCAGCCTCTCGTGGGTACAGAAACTCACATTAAACAATAATCTATTTAAAGGCATTGACAGCAGGAAAGTAAAGGCAGTGTGCTTCTTAATATACTTGAAGTCAGTTAATTAAATTACTTCAGTTTTCTTTTAGTACGCCTCAAGCAGAAACTCAATTGCGTTTCTGCTTTTCACAATCAGGTTAGCAATTTGGCTAATTGGAAGTGCAACAGGAGATTAATTGTACCTTTTTAACTTCAAGAAAATCCTCCCTTCTCCTGGCACACGGGTTATCACATACAAACCTACAGGATATTGGCACACTTGGAAAAATCCTCTTATTATATTTCTCTTCTAAATGCTTTCTCTTCTAAATGCTAATTCAGGAAATCAGATCAAGATAGAAGCCCAATTCTGGAAAAGACAGAATCCTTCCAACAAGGTGTGAGAGCAGCAGAGGAGAGGCACAGCTGAAAAGTCCTTCGTGGCTTTATTCTCTCCAGATTCTTGACAAATGTGATATGAGAAGGTTGACTGTGTTCCAGCTTAATAATAGAAGTGACAAAGACAGTCAACAAAAACCTAGATAATCCTAAATTTCCGCAGAACTGAAAGGTTGAAGATTACTGTAAAGCCTGGTTGTTTAAGTGCATTACTTAAATCATTTTTATGTGGTGTCTTGATTGGCAACAAAATATTAATAACTTTTCATTGCTTTCTTAATCAGAAGCTTTCATAAGCAACAGATTAATAATTTGTCTTGTCCTGTCTGTGAAGAACTCTGTTAATGAGCTGTCACATAGCTATTGCAAAAGAGCCCTCTTAATGGTACATGTAATTAAACTATTTTTCTTGCAAACATTTAAGATTGCTTTTAGCATAAAAATATTATTTATCCATAAATTACCCATCCATATTATTTATCCATTAGAAGTCCTTTTGCAGCTATACTTTAAAAAAGTCACATCAACTTTTCTCATGCAGAAAATAACTATAATGTAGCTGAAACTGGTAAGATTGTGATAGCTATAAATTGATTTCTGACTACAAATAGTGAAGTGGTTAAAATGTGTCATCTTTCAAAATAATATACTTTTGTCCCCCAGACAAGCAGTATGTTTTCCCAAATCTGTGATTATGAAAGCATTCCTCAATTTGAAAATATAATAAACTCCTCATGGAGTCAAATGTATTTATTTATACAGTATTTATAGGATATTGTTTCACATGATCTGACATTATCTCCAGAGAAACATATGTACATTTATAAACAAGATTTATAAACAAAAGTTTATCCTCCAGAAGCATGGTGAAAGCATATGCAAACAACAGAGAAGAGAATATTACCATAAGAAAACAAATGTTACAGAATACAGGTAGATAAGAATTCGGTGAATTACCAAGTGTAATGCAGATAGCTATAACATAAATTCATGAGTATCTTTCATTATTCGTTTCATATTAATCCGTACACTTTAACTCAAATCTGCATTAGATCATTAGTTCAAAACGAAGCTTTTCATTACAGATCATTGAAATACAGGTTTCTTTATTTCTGCTGATGCAGAAGGGGATTACAGGCAGGGGAGTGAGAGTGCTTTGCAGCTACTTTATGACTTGTCTTTCTCCTTCTGTGATGAAAAATCAATAATTGCCCTTAAAAAGCATGCTCCCACGAGTTAACGAAATGCAGCATATTATTTGTTTACTATTGTCGCTTGTGTGTATCAATCAGCTCATCTTGCGCGAAGAACATGGAGGAATGTCCAGTGAGTGGTCCACGTGCCAAGTTCTCGAAGAAGTCTTGAATGTTCCTGTCCAAAAGACCCCCTGCACCAACTTCACACATATTCAGTTTTGTATTACAGTATCCGGGATGTCACACAGGCTGACAGGCAGACGGGTTGAAGCTGTGATGAAACAAGTCCAGGGTCGGGGGGAGAAGCTGTTCATCACAAGGACCGCGTCCCCAGTTTGGGAAATGGCTGAGCAGCAGCTGATGGGAGCGCGGCAGCGTGTCCTGCTAAGGCTCGCCCAGTTCCCATGCGTCTCCTCTGCCATTGCCTCCTGTCAGGGGAAGGAAACTCGGTTGGAGAGACCTCTGCTCTCACCTTCAGCTGTTCTTGCCTTTGTTATGGCCATGTGAAGAA